TAAATATATCAAATCAATATAAAAAATTTTAAAATTCAAAGCATAAAAAATAATAATGCTCCCTAAAAAATAAGAAAAATAGAGGAAATTTGGGTTAGTCAACTTCTATTTTAGTTAAATTGTTAATTTTAATTTAAAAATGCAAAGCATCTGATTGGTAAGATCTTTCAAACAAAAGAGACAAAAAGAAGTGATTAGTATTTAGCGATCTTGATCTGCCCTTTATTCCTTGAAAAAAATATTCAAATTTAATCTAATTAATAACACAGCTTTGTTACAACGCAGAATGTAATAACAAAGCGGAATGAATATACCTGGATCATTACATTTTGGTTATTAAATTTTGCGTTGAGATCAACGTTAAATGTTATAACACAAAATGTAATAACACGATTTTTAGATTACTACATTTTGCGTTATTACATTTTGCGTCGAGATCAACGCAAAATGTAAAAAGTGCTTTTTCGTTGTTACATTTTGCATTATTTTATTAATGCATTAAGACAAAGCAAAATGTAATAAAACATATGAAAAAACAAAATATGATTATTATTATTTATATTGCGTTTGAAAAAAAAGATCAAAAAATTTTATTCAAATGTATACATTTGACCAACAGGGGAAACAGGCTGTACAAAATATCTAGAACAAAACCCAATGAGACCAACGTTAGGGTTTTTACTGACATAAATACTTCTAAATGTATCGTTTTTCTGACTCTGACTTCAGTTATGTTGAATACACTGTACTAAATTATAAAGCATTAATCTAACTTTGATTGGCGTATTTTTGATAGTCTTATCAAATATCTAACTAATAACACAATACCATGTTTAATTACCAAAAATTGACAATAGGTTCATTAAAGCTCTTGGCATGCATGTTCGGCATGTGTTCATTGGTTAACAAATTAGAAGTGAATGTGTGTCAAGCGAGGAAGGGAGGGATAGGTGGGGTTTTTATTTCGTATGTTTATCATTGTATTACTATGGACACGCAGAAACAATCCATTTTATTATTGGATAAAGAGAAAATTTTGTTTTTGCTTGTCTGCAATGCTGTTGATTTGCATGGAAACAGATTGTATCACAATTGTCAATAAACACCCTCCCGCAAATTTTTACACCTGCCAGAACAAATGAATAGGGTTTTTTTGTTCAGATTCATTGCATTTATCTATAAAAAAAAAAAAAGAAAGAAAGCTAAATTACACTGGTCAATACCCCCCAACAACCCCGCCCACACACGCACGTTTCTAATTTCAATACTTGTATATAAGCGTAGTTTGAATACATTAATAAACTAATTTTAAATACATGTAGATAATTAAATCAATATATTATGAAATTCATTAATTGTAAGAAATTGCATTCATCTATTTTTTTACTTCTGTTTTATTTCCTTTTCATCGGCCTCTACTCTTTTAAAAATTGTACTTCATCTGGTTGACCAAAAAGTGTGTTATTACATTTTACGTTCTTAACTTCTGCTTAATCTCAAACCAAAATATAACAACGCAAAATGTAATAATCCGAAAATCGCGTCATTATATCATGAGTTATTACATTTTGCGTTGATCTCAACGCAAAGTGTAATAGCGCACAATGTAATAATCTTCAAAAGTGTGTTGTTATTACATTTCGCGTTGTAACACAGCTTAGAGTTACTGACTTAATCTGGAGTTTCTGAAATTTCATTAATTTTCAAGTACACTAAGCATGAGAAAAATCCCTCCTAAAGGTACATTTTTCATAAAAATAAAAACAAATGCATGAATGAAAACAACCTCAAAACTCATCAGAGAGAGTACAAAATGAACTTTATTCCTGACAGAAGGATTAGACTACACTTATCTTACCCACGAGCACTTGTAAACAGGGACATCTCCGTGCCCCTAAAAATACACCTTTGGTCAAGAGATTTTTTGTGCGATTTCTGTCATAAATTATTCTTCGGAGAAAATGAACGTAAAATACCGCGGTAAATATTTCATTTTTTTTTTCCCATGTGAAATACGTTGTAAAGTTGTGTTAGAAATTAATCACTGAAGACGGATGAAATAAATATCCTCTAACCTTGGGTGCATATTTGGGGAGAGTGGGTGTAGAGGTTAGTGTCCGGAAGCCCAAGTGAGTTTTTCCTTGAAATAATTTTCTTATGTGCTATGGCAATTTATCGTGTTGAATTCATGTAGTATCTTTGTTCTTATTTGTTAGTTAAATTATATGAAAGAAAATGTTATAATAGAAATAAAAAAAACAAAAGAGGGCTTATTAGAATCCTAAATTATTTTTCTTCATGAATCCAAAAGATTCAAAGCATCAAATGTTTATCATTTAACATTGTAGATGACCAATATTGCATAATCATTGAAAACAACAATGGAGAATCAAGATTCCTTCAAAAATGCCCAAAATTATTTTAAAAGCTGGGCACCTGAGCGAAGTAGAATTCTCATGGAGTTAAAATCTATAAGAGATGAAATTCAACAACAAGCTAAGATTCATTCTATTGGAAATATCACATATTCCAGTTTCGGGCTAATAGGCGGGATACTGAGCATTGCGGGAATAGCAATGGCCCCTGTCACTTTTGGGACTTCTATCATTTTAACAATGACCGGGATTGCTACGGGGGTAACTTCCGGTGTCGCGGGGCTTACCCATGGGGTAGTCAAAACTGGAATAGTCAAAAAACACTTTAATCAGGCAAAGGCACATTTGGAAAAACATGAGACAACGTGCAAAGAAATGAAACGATTAATTAAATTGCTCGAACAGGACACTGATCCTAAAATGAATGATATTAATACGTTGGAAATTTCACAGGTATGTCAAGGGGTAAAACAAGCAGGGGCGCCGCAGCTCTCGGCAAACGCATTTTTGATTTGGTGGAAAAGTCAAGTGCTCTGGGTGTACATCGTATCACAGGAAACGCAGACGAGGTTGCCAGATTGCGTCTTGGTACAGCATTGGACGACATTGCCCCAACAGCAGCGAAAAGTGTTTCTAAAGGAGTCACTAAACTGTCTCCCGAGGCCCTAAGTACTCTGGCAGCCATCGGAATCTTCATTGATTTGGGATCTTTAATTTGGAATGCAGTAGACTTGTCGAAAATCGAAAAGGGCCAACTGTGCGCGGAGGCAAAAAAGCTTCAAAAGGTTATCGAAATGCAACATGAATACGACGTTTTAAAAGAATGTTTCTCGTGACAAGAAGCTTTGAGTTTTGTTATTGATAAGTTTATTAGACTACTTATCTTTGTAAAATAACATTACTAAATGCTATGTCACATATATATGTTTCTTCGTATAAGAATACTGTATTTTTAATTTGTTGAGTAATTTTTAAAAAATAGTATAACAGGAAACGCAGATGAGGTTGCATGCCCGGTTGTTGCACCTTGGTACAGCATTTGACGACATTCTTGCTTCAGCAACGAAAGATACCAGTATTTCCAAGGGGGCATCAAACTCCATTGGACTTTGATTTAGGATCCTTAATTTGGAATGCAGTCGACTTGTCTTAAATCTAATAGGGCCAATAATGCGAAGAGGCAGAGAAATTCCAAAAAGTTATCGAGCAAATGCAACATGAACAAGCTAAATTCAAGAACCTGTGTCCATCCCTGAAGCAAAAATGAAAAGAATACACTGACTCGGGAGGGGTTCGAGGGGTAAGGGACTTTAACAAGGGCGAGAGGGTCATGAGGAGTTACGGTATAAATTTATTTGAACCTCGAAATCAATAGGGGCCTTCCCTAGACCTATTTGTGGTATAAAGTATTATCGCAAAAGCTCAAAGCTTCTTGAGATATCGCGTGGAAACAAAAGTGTTACAGACACACGGAACCACAGACAGATGGAAGGACGGACGGACAAAAAGACCGAAATTAATACCCTCCATTTTCAGAAGAGGACAAAAAATTCAGAGATTTGATTCGATATTCCTTGGAGGATGAACCCCTCAAACAGATTCTAATAGTGTTCATTGTCTCCTCGGTTCATTTCGATATAATGGGGTTGTGGTTAATGAAGTTTCTGGGGTATGAATAGTCTTGACAGAATTAAAAATAAAATATTTAATTTTTCGAGCAATACCATGTGCGGCGGAAGGGGCTTAGAGAATGGGTGAGGGGTGTATTGGTCTACTCCATAAAATATCAGAGAACTGAAATTCTGAGGCAAAGCTTACTTGAAGCTAATGTCAATAAGTAAATAATAATATAAACAAAAGATAAAAATCGATTTTTTGAAAATGTTAAACAAACTGGCTCAAATGTTCATGCCCGCATTAGTTTTCTTTGAAATAAAAACGAAACCATTTGTATATATAAATAGATAATACATGCAAAAGTTACATGACGTAAATGAGCAAATGAATGCATCTGGTATTACGCTTACTATCCTAGTGCGTGTATAGAATTTTCTGTCTAATTAGGAAAATATAATACAGTTATTTTAAGTACATATTACTTCAATTGCATGTCTTATTCAAATCTCAGAAACTTAAGAACCTGGGTTTTTCTTACCTTATTTTACCTTGAAAAGGGACTCGTGTCTGTTTTCTTACAAAATGAAATCATTAGAGTATATTTATATTAAATTTTTAATGTTAATTTATATAGTGGAATTATGGAAATGGAAAATATATTTTTTCTACTTCACAAGATTATTAAGGATGATGAATTAAAATTAAAATAGAATATTTATACAATGACTAGTAGAAATGTAAATGAAACATAAGCATATTTTTTAAAATTCATTGCTATCGCGTTAAATGAAATATACACCGGGTCTATTCAACGTAGATAATAATGAAAATATGTATACAATAATAATGTAGATTTAAGATATATGATATGCTAAAGAGCTCCAGGAACTATACTGGGTAAAGTGTCATAGCTCATGTTCGCATAAATTTCAAAAATTGAATTTTCTTGTAAAGAAAAACGAAACTACACATGTATAATTAAGTATATATATAACGCATGTGAAAGCAACAGGGTTCTAGTTATCTGTCGGGATTTCCTTATAGTGTAGAATTTTCTGTCAATTTTAATTAGGAAAGTATAGTACAGTTATTTAATGTAAGTATAACTTATGAGTATGACTTATTCGAATCTCAACAACTTAAGAAATTGTCGTTTGCTAACTTAGTATTTATTTAGGGATTCTTGTCTGTTTTTCTTTTTTTTTCAAAATTCAAAGTATATTATTTATACAATTATGCCCTGTATATACAGTGAAAAGGGATTTAAAATATCACAATTTCTTTTCCTCTCATAATTTTAAAACTTTAATTAATTTGATGGAATTGCGGCGTGAGAAATAAATCTTTTTCTTTACTTATCAGGGTTTTAACAACAATTAATTTAAATTGAAAAAAAACATTTTTCAAAAATAAAACGGTCAAATTAATCTAGATAAAATTTGACCAAAAACAAGGTTGATAATTGATAACATCGATAACATCACTTAGTTTTATTGACTTCTTAAATGAAATCTCTGAAAGTTTTATTATTTTCTTAAGTAAAATAAACTTATTAAGAAGAATCCCTTTTTAATGGAATAAAATCCAGCATTTTTCTAATATTAAAAAATTCATGAAATTCATGAAAACAGCCCCAAAACTCGGAAGAGGGAATAGCAAATGTGCTTCATTCTTGATAGAAGGACTAGACTATAGTATACCTTTGTTACCTACAAGCAATTGTAAACAAGAACATCCCTGTGCCCCCGAAAATATACCCTTGGTCGAAGGGTTTTTCGATAATAAATTATGCTCCGTAGAAAAGTAACGAAAAACGAAAAATGAACCTTTTTTTATCTGCAGAGTTACATAATTCCACGAATATGGTTTTTAATACAACGTTCATTTTTCATTCTACATTTTGTTTTATTTTCAGTGTGAAATACATTGTATATTTGTATTAGAATATTAATGACTGAAGATGGATAAAATAAATATCCTCAAAGCAGGGTTGTACGAGTATACTGGGGGGGGGGGGGGTAACGTTTCATGTCTACAAGCACAAGAGATTTTATCCTATTATATTTTTTATGTAAGTGCTATGTCGATTTATTTTAAACTACACGTATTGTGTTTAATACATTTAGTATCTTTATTCTTGATATATTTTCATTAAATAATAAGAAATAACGTGTGATCAGAGAAATAGATTATCAAAAGAGCGCTTATCCAAATCCTGAGCCATTTTTATTTATAAATCCAAAAGATATAAAGCATCAAATATGTATCATTAAACATTGTAGATGACCAATATTGCATAAACATTGAAAACAACAATGGAGAATAAAGATTCCTTCAAAAATGCCCGAAAATATTTTAAAAGCTGGGCACCTGAGCGACGAAGAGTTCTCATGGAACTGAAAAAAATAAGAGATGAAATTCAACAACAAGCTAAGAATCATTCCATTGGAAACATCGCATATTCCATTTTCGGGCTTATAGGCGGGATACTGAGCATTGCGGGCATAGCGATGGCTCCTGTCACTTTTGGGACTTCTTTCATTTTAACAATGACCGGGATTGCTACGGGGGTAACTTCCGGTGTCGCGGGGCTTACCCATGGGGTAGTCAAAATTGGAATAGTGAAAAAACACTGTAATCAGGCAAAGGCACATTTGGAAAAACATGAGACAACGTGCAAAGAAATGAAACGATTAATTAAATTGCTGGAACTGGCTACTGACCCTAAAATAAATGATAGTAATACGTTGGAAATTTCACAGGTATGTCAAGGGGTAAAACAAGCAGGGAGCATCGCAGCTCTCGGCAAACGCATTTTTGATTTGGTGGAAAAGACAAGTGCTTTGGGTGTACATCGTATCACAGGAAATGCAGACGAGGTTGCCAGATTGTTGCGTCTTGGTACAGCATTGGACGACATTGCTCCAACAGCAGCGAAAAGTGTCTCTAAAGGAGTCACCAAACTGTCTACCGAGGCTCTAAGTACTCTGGCGGCCATCGGAATCATCATTGATTTGGGATCTTTAATTTGGAATGCAGTAGACTTGTCTAAAATCGAAAAGGGCCAACTGTGCGCTGAGGCAGAGAAGCTTCAAAAAGTTATCGAGCAAATGCAACGTGAATACGACGTTTTAAAAGAATGTTTCTCGTGACAAGAAGCTTAGAGTTTTGTTATTGATAAGTTTATTAGACCTATCTTTGTAAAATAACATTACTAAATACTATGTCACATATATATGTTTCTACGCATAAAGATACTGTATTTTTAATTTGTTGAGTAATTAAAAAAAAATAGTATAACAGGAAACGCAGATGAGGTTGCATGCCCGGTTGTTGCACCTTGGTACAGCATTTGACGACATTGTTCCTTCAGCAATGAAAGATACTAGCATTTCCAAGGGGGCATCAATCTCCATTGGACTTTGTTTTAGGATCCTTAATTTGGAATGCAGTCGACTTGTCTTAAATCTAACCGGGCCAGCAATGCGCAGAGAAATTTCAAAAAGTTATCGAGCAAATGCAACATGAACAAGCTAAAATCGAGAATCTGTGTCCATCGCTGAAGGAAAAATGAAGAGAATACACTGCCTTGGGAGGGGGTTGAGTGGAGAGGCACTTTAAGAAGGGCGTGAGGGTCATGGGGAGTTACAGTATAAATTTAATTGAACCTCAAAATCAATAAAGGTCTTCCCTAGACCTGGTTGTGGTATAAAATATCATAATGTTGCAAAAGCTCAAAGGCTTCTTGGTATATCGCGTGGAATCCAGAGCGTTACGGACAGACGGAACCACAGACGGACGGACGGACGGACAGAAAGACCGAAATTCATATCCTAACTTTCAGCAAGGGACAAAAATGTCAGAGATCTCATCCGATACCCGATGGTGGATGAACCCCTCAAACAGACGCACGTGATTTCAATAGTGTTCATTTCGATGTAGTGGAGTTGTTGTGGTTAAAGAAACTACTGGGGTATAAATAATCTTGATAGAATTACAAATAAAATAATTTTTTCGAGTAATATCATTCGCGACTGAGGGGGCTTAGAGAATGGGTGAGGGGTGTATTGGTCTCCTCCTTAAAATATCAGAGAATTGAAATTCAGAGGCAAAGCTTACCTGAAGCTAATGTCAATACGTAAATGCAATATGAACATGATCTTCTCAACTGTGGATGATTGACCCCACCTTTGCCAATGTTATAAGATTCATACTACATTGTATACTCTCTGTATTTACATGTTAAATTCTGGATCTTGTTTTGTATTAAGAAAACTGCATGTATATACATGTTTTACAATTGTTTTCAGCAAACATTAGTTAATATAGAGTTTGTGTTCTGTTATTATTATACATTTATGTAAGAAATATTTTATATATGTAAAGAACAATTGTGCATTTTTGTTGGTAACCTTTGATGTTGATATTAACTACACTTTGCCAATGTTATAAGATTCAAACTACATTGTATATACTCTCTGTATTTACATCTTAAATTCTGGATTTTGTTTTGTATGAAGAAAACTGTATATGCATGTTTTACAACTGTTTTCAGCAAACAGTAGTTAATATAGCTAGAGTTTGTGTTCTATTATTTTTATACGTACATGTATGTAAGAAATATTTTATATGTGTAAAGAACTATTGTCCATTTTTGTTTGTACCTTTGCTGCTTATATAAACTACAATTTCTGTTTATTGATCAAAACCTTTATTTTGATCAATAAAATTCTACAATTTTTGTTTATTGATCAAACCTTTATTCTAATCAATAAAATTCAACTTCAATATACATTTGTCTTTTGTCCTTTTTCATATAATTTGGGAAAAGAGGAGACATAAATAATGATATAAACAAAAGATATTATATAAATCGAATTTTTGAAAATGTTTGGCTAACGCCCTTCATAAAACAAACTCGAGAAAATGTTTATGTCCACATTAATTATACTCATACTTCCCTTTCTAAGGAAGAAATTCTTCAAAATCAAATGTCATTTTAAAATATTTTTGATATTCCACAGAGCCAAAATGAATCTGAACTACCCTATATATATTGGATTCCAAAACTTCATAAAAAAACTTTACAAACAAAGATACATTCCGGGTACCAGTAAATGTTCAACCAAGCCTCTTTCGTTACTCCTCACTAAGATATTGACAGTAGTGAAAGTAAAACTTCAATAGTACTGTACAACAATATATTTAAGAAGTGATGTGAATCAGATGTGGATACTCAAAAACTCAATAGAGCTTTTGAGCAATTTGAAATCACAAGATTTTACCAAAATCAACAGCTTAAAAACTTACGACTTTTCAACTTTATGCACAGAGCCATTTCCCATGATAAATTAAAGTCCAGGCTTTTGATATCATTGACAGTTGGGTTTTTTTTTTTTTTTTTTTTTGTTTTTTTGTTTTTATAAAAATGGAACTCGTAATTTACTTATCTGGTCATTGATCATTTGCAAAATTAATTTGTTAAAACACATTCTGATTGCACACACAAGTACTCTGAAGTTGACATCAAAGAGATGCTTGAATTTCTGATTGACAATATCTATGTGGATTATGGAGACCAGGTTTTCCAACAATGAATTGGAATTCCAATGGGTACCAATTGCGCTCCGTTATTATCAGACCTATTTTTATATTGATATGAAGCAGAATTTGTGCAAAATCTTATGTATGAAAAGAAGAAAACACTTGCTGTGGCCTTCAACTCGACATTTAGATATATCGATGACGTATTGTCGATTAACAATGGTAATTTCCATTCCTAAGTCGATACGATATATCCCGGTGAGCTTAAAATAAAAGACACCACAGATTCTGGCACATCTGTTTCATACTTGTATATTTGCTTGAAAAAGACGGTAATGGTAATCTAACAACCAAGCTTCATGATAAACGTGATGATTTTAACTTTTCTATCGTCAACTTCCCTTACTTATGAGCAATACATTGTATACCTTCATCACCTGCATATGGAGTATATATGTCTCAGTTGATTTCTAAAAGGAGGTAAATTATTGAGAAGCAAGTTGATGAAAGAAGAATATCATCAGTGTCGTTTAAAGTCATCATTTCGTAAGTTCTATGGTCGATAAATGACTTTGACAGCAAATACAATTTATCATTGAGTCAAATGCTGACTGACGTTTTCATACTAATTCTTAGTCCATTATTTATACACTGAATTGACGACGAATTTTTCCGTTATTTACCGATCATGACAAGGAGCACACGGCGGGTGTGACAGGTCAGCAGGGGATGCTCACTCCTCCATGGCTCGTGATCCCACCTCTGATGTTTCGGAGGTCCGTGTTTGTTCTGCTCCTATTTTGTATTGTTTTATCGACTTTGAGATTGACAACTGTTCGTTATCCCCATAATCTTCTTCTTGAAATAAAAACGAAACTATATATGTATCTATGGATAATGCATGTGAAAGTAACATAACGTAAATGAGCAAATAAAGGCATTTTGTATTACATGTAGCTAACTGTCGGGATTTCCTAATAGTGTATATAATTTTCTGTTCAATTGGGAAAATATATATCAGTTATTTTACGTACGTATTACTGCAACTGTATGACTTATTCAATCTCAGAAATTTAAGAACCTGTCTTTTTATTACCTTTTTATTTACCTTGAAAAGGGATAATTCATGTCTGGTTTCTTACAAAAAGAAATCATTAGAGCATATTTATATTAATTAATGTTTATTTATATAGTGGAATCATGGAGTTTGTTTGTTTATTTGTTTTTCTACTCCACAAGATTATTAAGGATAATAAAATAGAATTAAAATGGAATATTTAAACAATGACTAGAAGAATTGTAAATAAAACCTTAATTACTTTAATTTTTTTGAAATTCATTGCTATCGCGTTAAATGAAATATACGCCGGGTCTATACAACGAAGATAATAATGAAAATATGTAAACAATAATAATGTAAATATAAGAAATGATATGCTAAAGACCTCCATGAACTATACTGGGTAAAGTGTCATAGCTCATGTTCGCATAAATTTTAAAAATTCAATTTTCTTGTAAAGAAAAACGAAACTAGACATGTACAAGTATATAGAACGCATGTGAAAGTTACAGGACGTACAATGAAAATGTGCAAACAAATGCGTTGGGTTTAAGTTATCTATCGAGATTTCCTTAAAGTGTAGACTTTTCTGTTATGTCAAATTTAATTAGGAAAGTATAGTACAGTTATATAAAGTAAGTATATATTATAAGTATGACTTATTCGAATCTCAAAATCTTAAGAAATTGTCGTTTGCTAACTTTTTATTTATTTAGTGATTCTTGTCTGTTTTTTTCAAAATTCAAAGTATATTATTTATACAAGCATATGATATATATTAAGTGGTAAGGGATTTTAAAACATCACAGTTTCTTTCCCTCTCATAATTTTAGAACTTTTAAAAATTAATTGCATGGATTTGCGCCGCGAGAAAATAAATCTTTTTCTATACTTATCAGGATTATTAAGAACAATGAATTTAAATAAAAAGAATAATAAACAAACAATGACTAGGAGAAATTTTCCGAAGTCAATAAGTGAGCTACGAACTTAGTTTTAAAATATTGCAAGTAAAATATATTAAATATATCAATTTGATATGATTTTCTATACCAAAAAAAAAAAGAAAAACAATTTGTTAGCTATTAAAATGTTCCAATCTAGGAATAGATTTGAGAATAAAAATAATAAAAATATGCTTTTCTTTCAACTAAATATTCGAAACTTTTTTGTATTTGTGTTAAACTGTTTTGTATTTTTATATAAATACATACATAAAAAGTATTCCCTTAAAATTTGGGTTAGAGACAACTTACATCTATTTTAGTTTAGATTATCTATCTTAATTTTAAAATGTTCAGCATCTGATGGGCGATATTTGGCAAGATCTTTTAATTCAAAAAGGAGAAATAAATATTCTTTTGAAATAGAAGTAGACTTCATATGATTGAAAACAGCGTGTTTAATTACGTAGATCTGACCTTTTTCCAAAAATAAAACAGTCAACTTTAATCTATAGATAAAATCTGACCAAGAACAAGGTTGATTATTGATAACATCGATAACATTGCTTAGTTTTATTAGCTTCTTGAATAAAATCTCTGAAAATATCATTAATTCTTAATAAACTTAAGAAGAATCCCTCTTAAAGGGATAAAAACTAACATTTTTCTAAAATTAAAAGAAAAAACAATCGCATTAATGAAAACAACTCCAAACTGGGAAGAGGGAATAGAAAATGTGCTTCATTCTTGATAGAAGGAATAGATTATACCTTTCTTACGAGTAATTGTAAACAGGAACGTCCCCATGCCCCCAGAAATAAACCCTTGGTCAAAGGATTTTTCGGTTATAAATTACACTTCGTAGAAAAGTAACGTAATAAAAACTTTTTTAAAAATATCCGCGGTATTATAAAATTCCACAGATATGGTTTTCAATACAACATTTAGATTTCATTCTACATTTTTTTTAATTTTCCATATGAAATACATTGTAAATTTGTGTAAGAATATTAATGACTAAAGATGGATAAGATAAATATTCTCAGACCATGGTTGTATACTGGGGAGAGGATTGTGGGGGGTAACGGTTCGTGTCCACAAGCACAAGCGATTTTATCCTATAATATTTTTTATGTACGTGTTATGTCGATTCATTCAATATTGATTGAATACATTTTAGTATCTTTATTCTTGATATTTTTTCATTAAATAGGATGCATTGCACAAAAGTGTTTCTTTTCACTCTTTACTTGAATCAAGCATTCCCATCGGCGTAAAGCAGCACCTCGTTCCATAGGCTGACCTTTTTATTGTTGATTTTCTGGGGCGGAGTGAAATTAAAGACACAAAACACATGCAAGTTTTCTATAAACTTTAATTGGCACTACATCACAAAAGGCTAAACCGATTCATTCAAATCATATTGGCTCCGCCTAATACTATTTAACTGGACGGCGATTGTATTTTCCTTTGTGTTATACCAAGTAAACCGTTGTCAAGTACTAGTATGTGTTATTTGGGTTTTAACTAATCGCAATCAGAAACACAGCCAATGAACAATTTTATATAAGGATGGAGCAGAGAGGAGCTCATATTCTCACGTAATGCGAAAAGAAAAACAATGGTGCAAATGATAATAATAAGATACATATAGAAGGTGTGATAAAAGAAATAGATTATCGAAAGAGCGCTTATCCAAACCCTAAGCTATTTTTCTTTATAAATTCAAAAGATATGAAGCATCAAATGCTTAACATTTAACACTGTAGATGACCAATATTGCATAATCATTGAAAACAACAATGGAGAATCAAGATTCCTTCAAAAATGTCCAAAAACATTTTAAAAGCTGGGCACCTGAGCGACGAAGAGTTCTCATGGAGCTAAAAACTATAAGAGATGAAATTCAACAACAAGCAAAGATTCATTCCATTGGAAACATAACGTATTCCAGTTTCGGGCTTATAGGCGGGATACTGAGTATTGCGGGAATAGCGATGGCCCCTGTCACTTTTGGGACTTCTTTCATTTTAACAATGACCGGGATTGCTACGGGGGTGACTTCCGGTGTCGCGGGGCTTACCCATGGGGTAGTCAAAATTGGAATAGTGAAAAAACACTGTAATCAGGCAAAAGCACATTTGGAAAAACACGAGACAACGTGCAAAGAAATGATACGCTTAATTAATTTGCTCGGACAGGACACTGACCCTAAAATAAATGATATTAATACGTTGGAAATTTCACAGGTATGTCATGGAGTAAAACAAGCAGGGGGCGCCGCAGCTCTCGGCAAACGCATTTTTGATTTGGTGGAAAAGTCACGTGCTTTGGGTGTCCATCGTATCACAGGGAACGCAGACGAGGTTGCCAGACTGTTGCGTCTTGGTACAGCATTGGACGACATTGCCCCAACAGCAGCGAAAAGTGTTTCTAAAGGAGTCACCAAACTGTCTACCGAGGCCCTAAGTACTCTGGCGGCCATCGGAATCATCATTGATTTGGGATCTTTAATTTGGAATGCAGTCGACTTGTCTAAAATCGAAAAGGGCCAACTGTGCGCTGAGGCAGAGAAGCTTCAAAAAGTTATCGAGCAAATGCAACATGAATACGACGTTTTAAAAGAATGTTTCTCGTGACAAGAAGCATAGTCTTATAATGCAATGCATCAGTGAAAGTGATCCTTGATGAAGAAGAAATTTCGAAGAAAAAAAGAACATCTTATTGCGAGGACTATCATGGTTTATCATGTGAACTTTGTGAATATTTATTATTTATACTTTGTGACAAATTGCGAAGAAAATATGTTATAGATTTTTTATTCCTCGATGAGGATACACCATAAAATTTTGTTTAAATTTTATAAAATTTACAATATCTTATTAATAGATTTCCTGGGGAAAGATTTATGATAATATAATTTTATTTCACAAAAATGACACATCATATTATCAACTCTTTAGAATCGCATTTTTAATATTCACTATAATTTTGAATTTTACTTGATAAAAATACACCATATTTGTTAAGTTTTATGTTTCAAAAAATGTACTTAATACTAGTACATTAACATCTCTATAGAATTGCATTTTTAAATTCTGCTTATCGTTTTAACGTCTGTATATTGTATCGGATTTCTAAAATAACAATTTACCTTCAAATGTACTTAATATACAATTACTGAGTATTTAAAATTGTACTGAATATTTTGGATTAAAATAAAATGAAATAAAAATATTTACTGAATATTTATCTTATTTTTTATGAGAAAAAGTCAGAGATGATTTGATTTGCGATGGTGGATGACCTTTCAAACAGACACTTATAGTGCGTGTTCATTGTCTTCTCATTTATTTCGATACAGTGGAATCGTGAATAATGAAATGTGTACTGGAGTATGAACAATCACGGGGGAATTAAAAGCAAAAGTATTAGTTATCCGAATAATATCATGCAAGAAGATGGGGAATGGGAGAGGGATGTATAATGAAATGTGTACTGGAGTATGAACAATCACGGGCGAATTAAAAGCAAAAGTATTAGTTATCCGAATAATATCATGCAAGAAGATGGGGAATGGGAGAGGGGTGTATAATGAAATGTGTACTGGAGTATGAACAATCACGAGGGAATTAAAAGTAAAATTGTTAGTTATCCGAATAATATGCAGGTGGAGGGGGAATGGGTGAGGGCTGTGTAGGTCTCCTCCTTAAACATGAATAGATACGGGTTACCCCATATATCTAAGATATTCGACCAACTCGGAATTTTAACTGTAAAATAATAAAAACTGCATTTGTAAATGAACTTGTGTATCGTCCCTGAATCCGTAGCAACACCTTATTATTTTATATTTGAAAATTGGTACTAACATCTCCAATGTTAGTGCCTGTGATTTGAAACTATATTGCAAAATTAAAGTTACATGGATAGAATTATACTGTCTTGTTTAATCAATTTATTGTTCGGGAAGTGCTTTCCTAAACCATACAGATATGCAACTGGCTACGTCTTGAAAACCGAAACGAAGTAAAAGGTTTTTTACAACTGAATTTGTCTCTTTAAATCGCCTTTACTCACTATGCTTTGTATCAAAATGAATGAAATAAGAAAACAATTTAATAATAAAAATTTTTGAAAAATTCCTATTACTGATACGAACATAATCAAATGATATTTAGGATTTGGATGACCTCGACGTGTGAAAATTATTGAAACCAAAATATTTGAAGGATATTTTGGGTTTGGATGCACCTAGTCCTATATTCAGGAACTTCTGGGGTTCCTTCTCCCTCCAATACCTCACAAGGGCTTCGGAGATTTAAGGCAGCCCAAGAAATACTGACTTAGAAAATATTTTCCTGTGTACTCCAAGAAAATTTTCGGAATCCACCCCTGTATTTTTTTTTTAGATCTATATAAAACCTCCCCTCCCGCTAATTCGCAATTTAAGTACTTTTATCCAAAATTCTCAGTACCATAAGCTAATTATAATTTTACTCTTAATTCTGTAAGAGTTCCAATTGCATTATCTGTAATTTAAAATAACTGAAAAATACCTGTAAATACCTGTATTATTAATAGATAAGCATACGTAAGTAGTATACAACAGAGATAAAATTAGCTAACTAAAATCCAGTTATATATTTAAACATTAAATTCATTACAAGTAAGATTATTTAATTATATTGTTCAGGAATTTGAGCGATAAATATGTAATGTTTAAATGCAAACTCTTTTGCAAAAATAACATTGAGTACGTTTGAAAAATGAATTAATAATAATATTTTATTCTCATTCAGCAATCTATTTAAAGATAATGAAAAATCCCTCGTCTATTTTTAGCATTAAATGAAATAGTCAGTAACCGTTATAGGAATGTTGAATTTTTCGGGATGGGTTCGACCTGGATGAATGTGTTCTGTATTGTTTTATATTGTTGGACACTTTTCGGACTGAACCTGTCCACACAACCTGACCCTGGATTTAAGTTTAATTGTTGGGAACACACGTGCGCCTTTCCTCATCAATATTGTGACTCGGACGAGAAAAGGTGTTTATTCTGCTCGGATGACCTTTGCACATCACAGGATTTTCCATTACAGTGTCGCTCATATTGCCAAGGTGATTTTAACTCCACTGTATTTTACGTAATAGGATAAGGAATTCAGATTTTTTTATGAATGACTTTTTCAAAAAATATTTTGAAGTTCTTTTCTTAAAAATTATAAAATGATTTTTTTTTCATTTAGTTGACATTTATACATTTCTTTTAAATTTTCATAGGTGAAAAACCAACAGTCACTGCTCTTGAAACGTCAACGAATTCAACAAAAGGAACAAATTCTGACATGTCAGGTAAAATACATTCTACTTATTCTTATCCTCCATGCTTGAAAATGATGGGGGTGTGGGGGGGGGGGTGGTTAATGGTCGGCACGATTGTCTACAATATTTTTTTTATTTCTTTGTTAAAAAATTCACTTAGGACAGCTCTGACAATTGATTTTATTTACATTGATTGATTGATTGATTGATTAATGTAGGATCTACGATTTATTATTTTTTTTTTACGAATACATGGATGTACATGCATGTTACATTTTTTATCTGAGTGTCCTTATCTCAGCTCTGTGTTAGGTGATATTTTAAAATAGTAATTGATTGGATTTAATTTCGTTTCCCAATATCTTCAACCGCTATAAAATTGTTGTTTTGTAGGTGATATTGAGACCGTTTTGTGGCTTATTTTCGTCGTTTTACTCATCATTTTGGTCATCATTGGGGTACTTGTTTTTATGTTCTGTCGCTCGAAACTCAATCTACGAAGAGAATGTAAATATATAACAAATCCCACAGAAACCGAGGAATCAAGACATTCTATCGGAATACAGTCAGGTGAATATTAAGTGAAAGCAATTTTTAATTGTTAATTTAAGTTTTGGAAATTTTTAAGCATCTGCTTCGGAGACTGCAAATTTGAAACTAACTTACTTTTTTCTTTTTCAGATGACAATTTTTTTAATCAAAGTGAACACATCTTACTTTTAAATGAAAGAGACTCGCTATCTGCAAGAAATATGGCGCAACCAGAGAGTCAAATCTCAATGTCGTCTGGTGGTTCACTTGCGTCATCAATTACACAACCGGAAGAAGTTGGTCATTCGCGGCAACATGAACCTCTCATTGAAACAGAACTACTCAAAAATTCATACGCCGAAGACCCGACGAGATCTTCAGATAAACACGATGGTTTCAGAGAAGAGAGGCGTTCAGCAAGACCCGTGGAACCCTCATCAGATTTCCCTGTATTGAATAAATGTGTTTTTCAAGAAGATACATCTCTGAAACAATTATCATTGTCAAAATTAGTAGATACATGTAGTTAAGTCTGATTTCAAATTCTGATTTCATCAATACTCCGTCCAGACTTTATATAAGGAGACAGTACTTAGTGGTGCCGGGGACATTTTCTCTTTGTGTGATATAACTGTGTTGAGTGTGTTCAGAGTGTATATACATGTAGCTGAAACGTGTGGAACTTATAGGACTTTTCTGAAAGCCCAACCAAGGCTAGGGAGTGAACATATGAATTTAAGTTATTACATTTTAGCAGAATTTTTCTGTTATTATAGATTATAATAACATGTATACTATTATATATATGTTCAAAACAAAATTATTTATATGCTTTACACTGGTGGTGATTACTGCTTTGAAATTTATGCATATCCAGTAATTTGTAACCAGACCGAGCATTATATTAATAAATTAATATTCTTAAACTTTAGAGGCGATATTTTTCTTTCCATTGAATTTTTCCAGGGACCTATTTATAGTATATATGTCCCTGCTTTTTCAGACATCAACCATTTTTAGACTCAAGCTCATTACGTCATTGATGCTTCATTTATTTACCATAGATTGGTGTAATTTGCTGAGATTTTATCAATTGCACTGTAACGAAAATTACAATAAGGATTCATTTTTTAACGATGCTTATTGAAACGAAGATGACTTCTTGTTACATCTGTCATGCTGTAAATTTTGAATTTACTTTGAGTAGGTAAATGCAAAATTTACAAGTTCTTATGTTCATATTGTGCATTTTGCATTTACCTTAACCTCGTAAATTTAAAATTTACGACACTATACAGCGGATTAAGAGAAAGCCAAAAATTGTCTAGTACTAGTATCTCTTTTGTAACACAAAATTTATCGAAGAGGAACTTACGGAATAAAAATTGTGGTATTTGAAACATAAGCATGATTCAAGAGAGATAACTCTCACTTTTTCCACTTTTGACAAACGGGTGTTTTACACTTGGCGTAAATACAAAGAGTATGATTTTTCTATTCCCTACTTTACCTCTCTATTTGTTGTATTAGGTACTGGCAAAATTATTGAAAACTGATAAAATTGCATCTGGAAAATAAAACAATAGTATATGTTGACCTTTTATATGTTTTCACAGAAAAGGCCACAGTAATTTAATTTTTTGCTCTTCTGACCCGCGCACTCGTAATTAAGCAAATCTACAGAAACATTTCCTGCTCCCGGGAAATTCTGTGCTAATTTCTGTTATATTTACGCTCTGTTTTTATTTTAAATCATCTTGCTCTACAAATCAGGGGGAAAAATTGCCCATGAAAAGGAATAATACTTTAATCGTTCGCTCATACTTTTTCTTACATCAGATGTCCGACGAACAAGAAATTAAATTGGTATGGCCTTAACATAGATATCGTACTTGAGATTAAAAATGACTCCTTTAAACCGTCTTCGCGGTTAATATTCAGATTAAGATAACAGGGACCCGTAGTTTAACATACTGTGTTTGATTTTACGTAGTCAACAAACAATTATATACGTAAGGACATCCGATCCTCAGCCAAGAAGGATAACTTATTACACATCACTTAGAGAATTCAGAGACATTTTTATGAGCATTTTATAATTATTCAACGCCTGATTTTCTGAACATTAATTTAATTTTAACAACCCGCTCCTTTATATGTTCATTGACTAATTCACTTACCCTTCAATGAAGACTTTGACATACTCAAGTATTTTTGTCAGTGACATTGAAGGTATGACCTTGAATTGAGATCACCCAAACATCAAGACCTTTAAC